TCCTGGCAGGTACAAAGAACCTCAGGATATTTTAGGGACCTCAGGGAGAGAGGAATTCACCCAAATCTCTAGGTGTTGCAGGCAGAGTCTGATGATAAGTCTTTGGTCTGGCTTTCCTGGTCTCGAGAGGCCTACAAAGTTCAATCTAAGATTCCTTACAAAAAGTTCCAGCAAAGCAGATTTAAAAGAACCTGTATGATCAACTGCTATTCTTGCAGTACTTATGTAAATAATTGGGCCAAGTTTATTGAAATCAGACTTAGTTTACAAACCAATGAGTCTTAATTTGGCTATCTTTGGTAAAAACGAGAGTAATTTTTGGGAGAAAAATTATGTTTCAACAGAAATTATAATACATATTTGTGGATGCTATATTCTGGTTCTGTTAATTATCTTTGAGGTTTTTGTTTCCTATCGGTAAACTGGACTGGATCCTGAATTCTTCTAGTTTCCTCAAATATCTGGTACAGATCTCCCAACTAACGTTTCCAGTTTTTTTCTGTCCTTTTCATTTGGAATCATTGAGAATGAAAACCACCCTTTTTCCTAAAGCCATGAAAACTGAAGCTAGACAGTTTACTATAAGCCTAGGAGAGAGCACCATGATAGCCCATGGTTGGACAATCTTCATACCTGTTGCTGTGTAAGCCACTTAAAAGGTTTACCTGAATGCCTGATGACATTATCAGAGACATTCTGAACAGCAGAGGATGCTTCAACCCTGACATCTAGAGATCTTCTTGACTGACTGTCCCCTGGACTCAGAAATTGGTTTATAATTTGCTCCAATCATTAACCTTCTTTTTCTTTTTGTTCTTCTAGAAATGCTTCTTATTAAATACCTGGTTACTTACTTATACAATATAGGCCTAACTTGGAATGGACAAATGAATCCATGAAGACCACAAGTTGCTGTTCAGAAGACAGTCTTCTAAAGATAAGTAAAGAGTGACTCTCAGGTTCTTACCTTACTTGTTGGACTATTAGACAACAGGCTACTCGGCTACATCAGATTTCACCTGAGGTTCTAGACACTAACCTTGATTGGTTTACAGGCCTCTTCTCTTGGATTCCCCAAGGATTAAAGTCCATTATGGAGGGTATACTAAAATTTGGGCTATTTTGCTAATATATATGGTCATCTATGTAATTATAAGATGTGGATTTAAATGTTGTTCCAAAGCCATTGATTAGAGTACTGAAATATTAGTCATGCAAAGCATATCTCACTCTCCCCACCTGGTACCCAAAAATATTTAAAATAAAGGTAGAACTGTTTCATTCCTCTGACCTTGATCTTTGCCCTTCACAGCAGGAAGCAGCTGCAGTGGTCTTCGCCCCCATTCCTCAAGATTGAGAAATGATCATAAGACAATGGGGACAGAAATGGAGGATGAAGGAGTTAAAGTCTCCTTGGATTAGGGTGAAACCATGCCTGAACCCACAAGGTTAATGTGGGAAACAAAGTAACCAAAGTTTCTGAGCTCTCCTTGCAGAACAGCAGGAGGACCACTGATAAAAAGAGTAGCTTGCTGACAGTCCTCCATCTGACTAAACATCTCACAGGAGCATTGAGAAGCTAACATGATCAATTGTAAGCTTTACACGTTAAAAATCTTTAGCTTTACAAACTAAAAATGCACTGCATGCACACATAGAACCCCCTCGAGTTTGCACATATGATGCATGAAGAAATATGAAAGACAGTAGCTCCTGTGCAGAAGACTCGTAGAACTTCAGCCCCCAAGGCCACGTGCTCCCTCTTCCCATCTTATTCTCCCAGTATGCTTTGGAATAACGCTTAGAACTGCACATAGGCAAGCTAATCTGTAACCACTAGAAAGAATAACTTGTTAGTGGAAAATTGATGTCCTCTGCCCAAACTGTTCCTTCTGTCCCAGAGAAGGAAGTAACAGAGGTTTTCTTAGATTCCTCAGGGATGTTGCGTTCAGCAGGTCCACTATGGAGAGGTGCCCAAAGTTCTGTGGTCATCCATCACCCCACACTCCTGAGCCCCCTTCCAAACCCTGTTAGCCTTATATAAGTCATTTCCAAATCAGTTCCCCTTTAAGATGGTTTTTTTGGATGACGGTTCACCATCGTCCGATTTGCTGGCTTATCTCTCGTTAAAGTTCTTTCTCTCCACCGCCTTGCCTCTAGACTGATGGGCTTTTGTCTTGCAGCGAGCAGATCGAGCCCTTGCACTGTAACACATGTATGTGTTAAGCATCCACTAAGTGCCAGGCATTTTCATACATTATCCATTTAATACTTAGCAATAGTAAATCTGATTCTACAAATCAGGAAACTGAGGCTCAGAGAGGTTAAATGTCTCACCCCTGGTCTCAGAGAAGGTAAGTGGTGGAGACTTGACTTGAACTCAGTACTCTGCTTCTCCATAGGACTTTCTCCTGCCACCCCAGGGCACCACCTCCAAAATGACTCTCTTCCTCACTGTCGCTTCACGTAAGTGTGTGTCAAAAGACTCAAGGCATCTTTATGTATCTTTAAAGTCAACCTGACCCTGTTGTATGTGGGAATAATCAGGTAATTTAGTAATATTTGAGTGCACAGTGTGTCAAGATTAATTAAATATCTGCAAATGAATTATATGTGCTAGAATCTTTCTTTTAAAAAGCTACACGCCATCTGAGTAGAAAAACTAACTCTGAATTCAAAATGCCCAATACTAAAATGTTAGCTAGAGAATCTTTTTAATTAGCCTAATTTTGAATGAGCTTTAATTCATGAATTAAAGGTACTTAGTCATTCTCATTCTCTGGGCCTAAATGAACTTATATGGAACGAGGGGTGAGGTCTAGAAGGGAGAGAGAGGAGGACAGAGGACGTCCTGTCCCTCTCTCTGAGATGCTACCCCAGACCTGGGCTTGAAATGGAGAATGGAGCCCCTGAGACCCCACACAGGGGGTCTGGTTCCATCACACAACCTATATACTGCAGTTACCCAAAAGGTAATCCACCCATGACCTGTGTCCAAATCTCCTGGGGCCTTTGTTGGAATGCCACCTCCTGGGGCCCACGCCAGGCTTACGGAGTCAGATTCTCTGAGGATGATGCCCAGGAACTGGCATTTTAACAAACACCCCTAGATGTTTCTGATTCATTCCAAGATTTGAGAACAGCTTCAGGAGCTCAGTAAAAACATAAAGATCATGACGATTCCTCGTATTTACTTATTTCACAGGGACATAATTTTCTGTTTATAACCTTGAAAATTCTTAAATAAATGAGATATTTATCCCAGCAACTCTAAAGGTGAGGCATTCCCACTTTCAAAATAGGGGAAATTGATCCGTGACGTGTATATATATATATATATATATATATATGACATGTCCTTTCTTTATACATGGTCAGGAATCAACTACCTTGCACCTAGGAGGAGAGCAATAAATAGTTACCAATTCACTCATTAAGGAGTTTTATACTGTAAAGCTAAGCCACTTGATTAACTCATTTTTGTATCCAGTTCCTAGTTAATTTTATCTTGCAGGGGAAGGGCATTTTTCTAAATTTATAACCTCAGTATGCTCCTTGTTAGGAATACACTCCCTGACTCAAGTACTGATTGCATGTTTGAAACACTCTTTCATTCTTCTTCTGTAGAACCCCTAGAAAAGGTAATTTTTGAGGTAAATTACTTCATTTTCTTACTTCTCTCCACTGGTTAGAGCCAGTCCTCAAACTCACTCTCTTGCCTGCTATCCTATTAATTAAAACTCTGGATGTAGGAAATTATTTTAAAAAAAGAAATGAAGAGTTGAACAGCTCCTTGTGATTAGGCAACTCCTCTAATCTTTCTGCAGTTTAGCAGTTTCTGTTCCTTTGCTTCTTGGGACTTGCCCAATCTGAAGGGTTCTCTGAACCTTGAAGGTCAAGTACCCAAGGCAATGATTCATCAGTCTCAGGGTTTACTGGTGTCTTCCCATCTGGGGGAGCTCTGAGAGTCTGTTCACCTTGGAAACACAACAGCAGGCTCCCTGAATATGCACAGAGAGAATATTTTTTTAAGCACCGTAAGAAAACATGGTTTAGTTATCCCCAAATGTAAGAGTCATGATTCAAAACTGTTACTGACTCGGAAACATCTTTAGTCAGGAATAGTATCTTCAAGCTGACAAGTCACAGATATGTGTACTTTTGCTAACCAAACTGATAGTTGAGAAAAACCTCAAAAATATCCCATTCCCATCTTTATTTTTCCTGCTAAAAATGGAATGGCTTTCACTTACCAAACTGGCCAGGCCATTGCTGATACAGTTACCACGGGTGTACATGGAACAGTAAATATGAGACAACAAGTTACCCATGTCATTTGTAGAAATCCTGATTTTGGAAAAGGACGTGTAGAAGATACACTCATAGAAGACATTTTGAACCTTAAAATGGAACTGCTTGCTTTGATGCAAATGGCTATGGGTGTGCATCGTGGGGGGATAATTTCTCTCAGACCATCCTTTCTAGTATCACAAGTTGTCTAGCCTGAATCATTAGTATATTGTTTCAGTTGAACGATCAGGTGAATGAAATCAGTTCTTTGCTTGTTCTATGCACTCAACGGGCTAAACAGCACTGATCAAATGACCTCTCCTCTGTTAATTCTTTTACAATAAATTCAATCAAATCTACAGATCGCCTAGCCTGTGCCAGGCACTGTGCCAGGCGCCAGAGGTGCAAAGATGTTATTAATGATCTCTTAAGACTGGGGGTTGGGGGCAGGCATAGCCTCTTCCCCCTCCAGCGCAGCCTGGACAGCTGTCAAATCAGTCTTGAGTGCGAGTACTCCGTGGCTCCCGGCTTCTGGGAACACGTTACTCCCAGGTCAGCCCACAAACCAGGTTCTCCTGGCGTTCCCCCAGAGCCACTCAAGTTCAACTCCGGAGCCGCGGCGCTCGCTCGGCGCTGAGCGAACTCCGGGCTTCGCCGCGCGCGGCGCCTGACTCTTTCCCGCCCGTCGGGATGCGCCAGACCCCGCTTACTTTGCCGCCGTCGCTCACGCCGAGGAGGTGATCCCGCAGCACTTCCATGGGGCAGGTCCAGGTGGAGTGGACGAACGTCCCTCGGAAGATGTGCGCCAGGGGCGGCATCTGGGCGGCACACATGTCAGCGGCGGTGCGCAGCGCGGGATGCGCCGGGCGAGATGCGCCGGGCGAGGAGGGCGCACCGGGCGGAGGCGCGGCAAGGGCTCCCTGCGGACGCGGGTGGCTGCCGAGCGGGCCCCTGCTCCGGCCTCGTACTGCCCCCGCTTTCCCGGATGGTCGCCTGCCCCCTGCAGGCCGCGCCCAGGGGCTGGCACCCTGCCTCCTCGACGCCAATAGGCTTTTTCTTCCGCGAGTTGGCTCCGCGCACCCGTGGGGTGTGGTCTCTGTCTCCTCCCCTGCGTTAGTGTTTGATATATTAACTCTTTGAGTTTCCAAAATCACAGCTTACATTGCGGTTCTTTTAACACGTGGTGGCTGAGTCACTCACCCAGGGGATGAAGGAAGGAGCTGGAGGTGCCAATGTTTCCAGCTCTGTTCCTTTAACTGGTCACCAAATTCGCTTTTGCTTCCTGCTCCCCACCCCCACCCCACCTCCTCCAGCTGTCTTCAATCGGCACACCTAGGGCTGCGTCTGCCTGCTTTCTCAGCCCTTTCAACTTTTAAGGCTATTTGTGGCTGAACCCTGCACCTCTTCACCCTGTAGCACCCGCAGGGTCTGGCACAAGTTCAGCGACCGGTAAAAGGTCAATTAAGGCTGCCTGCCTTCCTGACCAGTTTCATTTTCAGTTTCTGGGGGCTGCAAGCTTTGTCCTAACTTGATGTTCTGGAAGCATGCCTCACAGAATTACTGGGGGCCCCACCACTGGAGGTTAATCTGGACCCCAAAGTTCCTCTCTTCACCTTGGGGCCCATGTTTTGGCCCTTGTGTCCGTCCACAAACAATTCCAATTCCAATTTTTCTCATGCCTAAAATAAGTGAATCTCTTTGATTTACTTCCAGTTGTACACGGGGAGAAAATTAAGTACTCAAGCCGAGTAGCTAGGAATGGCAGTGTGGCGTGGCCTGGTGAAGAGTGCTGGATTAAGAATCAAGAGACTATGGTACACAGGTGGGCCTCAGCATCCTTATCATGCTCATTTGTGAACATGGCACTCGGACTGGGTAGCTGCTAAGATTGTTTCTAGGTCAGCATTCCTTCCCTACACTACACTCACAAACCCCTTTACTAAGTTCCTCCAGGAAGACCAACTGGTCTCCATTCAGGGCCTCTGCATATGCTGCTTCTTCTGCCCTTAATGCCTCCTGTGGATCTTCACATGCCTGGCTCTTCTCATCACTGGTTTGCCTCAAATGTCAACTCTTTGGAGTAACCTTTCCCCACCGCCAAGCTAGTAGCACACCCATCCTCCCCTGGCAGTTTGCATTCTATTAATCCATCTTATTTCTACCATTGCATTTATCATATCCATCCTCATTTATTTCATGTTTTTTCATTTATTTCTGCTTTCCTTCCCCCAATACACGCGCGCACACACACACACACACACACACACAAACACAGAGAGAGAGAGAGAGAGAGAGCAATGGAAACACCATAAGAACAGGGGTCTTACGCCTACAACAGTGCCTGGTGTTTCACACGTTTGTTGAATAAAAGAATGAATGGTCTTTCTAGGAGCAGAGCAATAACCTGAGATAAATACCTATTTTGGCTCCTCCATAAAGAATAAGAGTTTTATTGCAGTGCATAAGCAGGCTTTCTCTGAATTGCTTTTATGACACAGGGCCAGCTCATATAAAATGATTCACTCCCCTCTGAGTTCTTTCACCTCCCCCATACCAAGGCCTAGGGTCAACAACTCGTCCCAGTTTACGGGAAACTTTCCTGGTTTTAGCACTGAAAGTCTCGAGATCCAGGAAACTCCTCAGTCCCAAGCACACCAAGGTGGCTGGCACGCTGCCAAGGACTCAGATTAGGAAGCCCTGAAGCTGAGAAAATCACACTTGCCTCTTGGAGACAGTAGTCTTTTCTCCCTGTCACTTTCTCCTGATTCTGCAGACCACACTCCCTCCTTGTCCCAACAGCCAGTGTGCTGAAAACATCCTCTTGACCTAGGCTTGTACACACAAAAACCTCAGAAAGAAAAGTGAAGAAAATGTCTGGCTGTTAATGTAAAAGAAGAGTCAATTGAATGTTTCTAAAAGATATACTGGTTCTCTGAAAGAGATACAGCTAATACTTTTTTTTAATGAAAGCCACCTAAATGTTCAACAATTGAGACTAGTTTAATGAAGTAGGATGTATCTACTCTGTAAAATATTATGCAGTTATTAAAAACAATAGGGGAAATATGGGGCTATGTGGGAATTATATATAATAAAATATTAAATTCTTCAAAAAGGCATTTATGTTATGGTCAAAATCATGAAAAGCCCATAGGCATATAGGCTAGAATTGACAAGGTATACCAAACAATGGTGATAGTTCTGTTGAGGTAATGAAATTGCTAGGGAATTTTGTCTTGATGTTTATTGATGTTGATGCGTATGGTTTATACAATGAGTCATTGTTGTGTAGCTTTACTTAAAGGTAATCTTCTTATTTATTTATTTATTTCTTCCCCAAAGCCCCAGTAGATAGCTGTACGTCATAGCTGCACATCCTTCTAGTTGCTGTACGTGGGACGCGGCCTCAGCATGGCCGGAGAAGCAGTGCGTCAGCGCACACCCGGGATCCGGACCCCGGGCCGCCAGCAGCAGAGCGCGCGCACTTAACCGCTAAGCCACGGGGCCGGCCCAAAGGTAATCTTCTTAAACAGAAGGAACAGCCATGCCTGCAGATGACAAGGCACCAGCGCCCCTCAGGTGAGTGTTAGCTCTTCCGCACAGTGCTCAGCTCTGCTTCCATTCCCAGCCAAGTTGTAGGCCCTCGCTCAGGATCCCGAACCCTCAGCTCAGCCACGTGTAGGCTATCTTGGCTTCCCTACTACTCTCACCCATTCTCCACTTTCAGACTTGGTGACTCCTTTTAATTGCTGGTCCTCCTGCAGTTCTGACTCCCATCCTGGTATCCCAGGGAAATGTTCTGCAGACTACTGAGGGTTGAAGGAAGAAGGGAGGCCAGAGCTTTTATATTCATCTTTGAAACATAGCCCGAGCACATAGCAAGCCAGCTTCTGATTAATATGGTTATTCTGACAAGGGCAAAGTATGTAACAAATGGTACTTATTGTGCCTCCAAAGACTCAAGGAATTAGCAGTTCCGATTCTTCAGCTCTTTCTATAGCCCGTGTTTAAATCTAGGCAATAATAGAACAGAAGGAGCCTTAGAGATCACTGTTCAATGGCATTTCGCTGCTCTTCTCTAGTGTCTCTATTCCCTGTCAGTAATGGCTCGTTTCAACGCTCACCAGCTCAACTTCGCTAAAGAAAATCCAACAATGGTATGCACTTCCAGTGCCCTAACCTCACTTAGCACTTCCTTTGGAATAAAAGAGACTCTCCCTGGTACCGATGCTTCCTGAAGCCCTGGCTGCTTCTTCAGGCTCTTCTCCCTCCAGTCTCCCACATCCTATGCATCTGCTCTGCTCACATGTCTCTGCCTGCGGTGCCTGTACGCCACCTTACACCACATCTGCCTCATTTTACTCACACTCTCCTCTGGCTAAATCCTTCAGCTTCATTGCCCACTCCCACCCCCGTCCAGGAAATCTTTACACTCCTCTCTCTCTCAGGTGTTAAGTGCTCCTCCTCTGAGTTTGTGGGGTGCTATAATTACTCTTTTACTAGTCTATCTCCCCTAGAAGATTGCAGTCTCCTTAAGGACCATGTCTTCTTCCTTTCTCTTTTTCTCTGTCTCCCCTTAACACAGTGCCTGGCCAATAGGAGCTGCTCAATAGACTTATACGAATGTTGAATTTCAAGAGATGGCTCTATTGTCTATATTTTAGCAACAAAAGATAAGAGGCTATAGTGCATGTGTGCTAATGGCGAGCAATTCATTGGGACCAGAACCTACGAAAGAGCTTTATTTCGTTTATTTCATTTTCCAACATTGTATTATGAAAATTTTCAAACATACAGAAAAGTTGAAGAGCTTCATTTCTTAAGATCACATTTCTCCCTACTTCAGATGGAGCCAAGTGGTCTCAAAACTCCCCAAGTACTGAGTGGGACCAGAATATTCTAAACCTCTGATTGCCTGATGCAAAGACAGGACCATAGCATGATCAGATTTGACATTTGGGTCCCTCCCACTAGACAGAACTTGACTGTTCAAAAATGCTTTCTTTTCTACTATCTCATTTTGAGCCTCACAACAACCTATAAAGTAGGAACAGGATGTATTTTAACCATTTCACAGATGGGGAACCTGAGGTCCAGGAGGGTCGGCTTGCCTATCCCGTTAGTAGAGGATGGACCTGGATCTCGACTCCAGTTGTTCTCACACGTTGTCTCATCACCGTCGATTGCAAAGAATCGCCATTCCATTTTGCCATGACTCAACTGGTCACTGCATTGTGGGTTGTCATCTACAACTTTCGCATTGTACATGGTTTTCCAACCATGTACACGGTTTGCCAGTGACACACAGATCTACCCCAAAGTGAAACCCAAGTGGGAATAACAGACCTAGAGGAGAAGAACAATCTAATCAGCATTAGATTAGTCAATCAGTAAAATGATCCAGTGAGAATACCATGTTTTCACGGGGCACAGAGAGCAAAGGACAGGCAGGTTAAATGAGAAGTCACTTTCTTCTCCTATCCAGGAGGAAAGTTGTCATTTCACAGTGAAATAAATGCCTGCCTATTTTATTTATTCTTTTCGTGTAGCTAAATCTATCAGTTTCCATGGTGCCCCATGTTCACCATGGAAACTCTGACAAGCTCGTTATGCTTTAGGAAAAAAAAAAAAGGCACACCAAAAATCTGAGATCGGATAAATGCATTCCTCTTAAAACTGAGTTCTTCTGAGTGGGAAGCCTTGGTGGATAGCAAATCATAGTGATCTCGATTTTCCAGTTCTTAAGTGAGAACGCAGGTTTGCATACCCATCAAAGAAGTACCCTTTGTCCCCCAAAATTACTTTATCTGAGTAGCAGTAGTTATGTCTGTATTTCACCTCTACATTTACTGGCAATAGAGAGATGGCTCAATCCTCATTTTGTGGATTTTTATGAGAATATGGTGTTAGTCCCTATATATTTTCTTCTTCTGTTTGTTCATTCAACCAATATTTATTGGAAATCTGTATTATGATAGGCAGTATGCTAAGTACAGTGGATATGACAATGTATGAAACAGATATTACCCTACCCATATGCAATTTACATGAATCTTCTTTCTCTCCATGACCTCTGGGACTAGGGATTAATAGTTTTCATAGTGTTACCATAAGACTTTCTCAGCATGATTGGTGAATAGCATATTATCATGTATACTTACGTATCAAATTTTAATGA